TTAATTGTGTTACTGGTTAACTAATCATAACAATTAAAACCACTCAATCGAGATTTGTGCCTCGATGTTCCCTACTAAGAAGGCGGCAAGCACAAAGTACACGCGCATTCGTAGAGGGGATTATAGGTCATTCCATAGCGTATGTCCCCATGTTAAACTCCTATGTACGATGGGTGTATAGAGGAGGTGGTCAATTTTGGTGTACGTACTTTATGAATAACGACTGAACAATAATTGTAACACAAACTAAGAGCACATAAACATATTAAGCCTTACATCGTTTGCTGGCAGGAAGTACATGTCCCTGGACATATCGAGAAAAGCTTCGATATCGTCCACCGAATCGAATCGAAATGGTTTAATCAAAATTAATTTCCCCGTCCTTTTCGCCCATTTCTTTCCGATCTCGAGTTTCAGACGATTTGAAAACTTCTTGCGTTTATTGAGTCTATACTCCGATAGCATACGAATCCGAGCGATCATTATGTGAAACATTTCCTCCATATCTGTGACCACCAGTCCTTTGCCGGCGAAGTCCACGATCTCATTGATAATTAACTTCACTTTGGCCTTCATATCCGGTTCCCTTTTAATCTCACGCTGTATTTTGTCCTTAAATGAGCCTGGTATCTCTTTCGACATAAATAGTAGCAACATGTCCAGCAAGTCATCATCGGTGTGACAGTCCTCGCGGAAACGGGAGTCGTTAATGACGTCAACGATGACCGCTTTGGCGGCCATTTGTTTGCGCAAAAGTTTTGAGCAAATGATGGCGCCATCAAAATAGCCCAACACATCGTACTGACCACTCGGCTCCAGTTCCCTTAGCAACGTGACGTAATACTCGCTCACCTCTTTGAGCGTGGTCAGTTGGCTCACCTCCCGGGTCCAGTTTAGTCCGATCACCGGTCGGTTAATTTTTTGAACCAGTTCATCCATGGCGGCAAAGTTGACCTCAATGGGCGGCATCATGTAAACCGGTGTCCCTTTTTGCACGCTATTCAGTCGGGTATGCGTTTCGGTGGGAATCAAGAATCTCATTTTGAGCAAACTTGCCTTGGCCCGTTTTATATCATCCAAATGTTTTTTAATCTCTCCAATATTGCCGGCCTCGTAGTCCTTTAACATACCGATCGTAATACTCTTGACCTGGTTTAGAGTCACCTTCATATTCCACTCTCTCTCCAATTCCTGTTGTAACTCTACGGCGAACATGGACTCAATACCAATTTCACCCAGGGTTAGGTGGTTGGGGGTGTTATCCGGATCAATGCCCAGTGCTCGCCATAGCTCCTTGATCATTCGCTTTTGTCGGCCGCCTGATTCACCTTTAGTCAAATCCATTTTAACCTATCAGAAATACAGTTGTTTATAATTAATGAATATTTGATTTGTATATATCTGTGTTGGAAAAATAAACTCAGGATTATGGATGAGTTGTGAGAAGCTTATGGTTCACAACTCATCCATAATCCTTTGTTTATCTACCAAACACAAATATATTGAATCATAATGAGCATAATAAATTAAATTTCTAAATTGAATACAGCGTAATAGACTTACAAATGAGGTGACGATCGGTTGTTTAATTGCTAACAGTTTGTCCAAAACATCGCAACACGAGTTGATCCGCTGTTTCCTGAACGACGCGAATTGTAACAACTTATCCATACCTGCAAACACTCCCACATCGCCGACCGGTCCGTACTGTATGGCCAGTCCGTGTAGTCCGTCCCGTCGTCTTTGTTCGCATATTCGCTCGCAAATAGAGTTACCGAACGAGTAGTTAGACTGACCTCCGTTTCCCTTTCCACACGCGACGGACGAGAAAATTACAAAATAATCCAAATTGTAATTCAATTTGCGAGTCAATTGATCCAAATTCGTGAAAATCTTATGTTTGGTATCAATAGACGAACAAAACTTATCAAACGTTAACTTCTCTATCAAACAGTCATTCAAATCAAGCGCCAAATGAAATACCCCTCCAATGGGTCCCAACTCTTGAGTCTCTTTTAACAGTTGTTGTGTGCCTTCAATGGTAAACCCATCGGCAGTCGAGACAATCCATTGGGACTCAAAAAACTTGTAATCCTTCCAGACTTCATGGAATCGATTGAACACAAACTTCTGGTAATCGGTCTTTATGCCCGCCCTCGAGGTGACCACAAACCTACGGGCGCCGTAGTATTGCATCCATGGTATGAGTTCCATACCAAACCCTCCGAGTCCGCCAGCGATTATATAGACTTTGTTTGGATCGAAGTATGTCTTCGCCTGAGCTTTAATTTCGGGCAAAGGTTTCTGTGCTCTAAGGAATCGCCTATCGGTCTCCTCATCTCTCATCTTCAATATGATTTTACCCGTGTGTTTGCCAGTTGTCATATACCGGAAAGCCTTTTCGGCGTCGGTAGCCTTGAAAGTTGTCTGATTGATGGGTCGGACGCAACCTCCCGGTCCACAGTTTTTGTGAACCCATTCGTAAAACTCAGGCAAAAATTCGATGTCATCGACGAGGACGAGATCGATCGCCACGGGTATAAAGTTGACACTCCGTATGAAATCAAACATACCCAGCTTCTTATTTTGCAGCATGTCAAATTTGCCCATTTCTATAAACCGACCATGGTTGGCCACACATTCGTAGCTCGCATCCAGTTTCTCGCCCGACAGTGAGTTCAGCACCACATCTACGCCCCGACCCTCTGTTATCTCCATTATCTGATTCTTGAAGAGTATGTCTCTGGAGTTGAATATCCTGTTCGTCGGTATGTTATACTCCCTCTCAATGAATACTCTCTTGTCTTCCGTCCCGACCGTCACAAAGATATCGCACTCATAGTATTTGGCGATATTAATGGCCGCCTGACCCACGCCTCCCGCCGCCGAATGAATTAAAATACTTTCGCCTAAATGTTTGTGATCTCTGGTAAACACATATAATCACTACATATTTCATTGCATACATACCTTTCCTTAGTCTACCCTTTTGAATGAGTCCATAATAGGCGGTACTGTATGTACTGAGTATAGACACGGCGTCGTCCATAGACCAGTGCTCCGGTATGCGAGTCATGCCGTGTGTTGAACAGTAGGTAGAAGTGGCGAAACAACGGCCCGCTTCCATACCCATAACCCTCTCACCGGTGTCTATACGACGGCCGGCAAACTCACCGCCGATCGTACAGTCAGTGAATATGACTTCCGGACCGGAAGGTATGCGACCTATTATTGTGATATTTATAGAATTTTTATAATTTAAAGCATACTGTATTAGTAAATTAATATAACACATACCTGTGGCGAGCATAACGTCGTGAAATGAAATGCCAGTGCTGTATATATTAATTTTATGCTTGGTAACTTTGTTGCCCATAAAGTCGTACTGTTCCTTAGGCGGGACTATAGTCCTCAAGTCATACCATTGAAGTGCCGCTAAATCTCTAGTTTGTCCCAAATTCAAGTAATACTCGTTTGTCAGCACTTTATCGCAATCTTTGGGTAGTTTTAAGTGTCGATAAGTTCCTACTTTTCCATCTCTGATCACATTCGCCACCAAATCGTTGGCCAGTATTTCCCTATAAGGGCTGACATTAAAGTCTATTTTCTCACTATTGTTGTCATAATTGAAAATATAACGGCTGTTCTCTCCTCCCGGTTCTAATCGGACACAATTCATGAGACCTATTATACCGTTAATAGACGACGTGTTTGCTGTCAGCCATATGTTATCCGTCTTATTGTCCGCATCCTTAGCGGTAATCAACTTTTCCTGCAATACTCCAAACCATTGATTGTAATCCAACGTAACATTTATAACATCTGTTTGATCGGGAATTTTAGGTGTGTCCACGATTTGTCTGAATAATAGGGCTACTGTTCCTATTGTGTCATATGCCGTTAATAGACGACGTGTTTGCTGTCAGCCATACGTTATCCGTCTTATTGTCCGCATCCTTAGCGGTAATCAGTTTTTCCTGCAATACTCCAAACCATTGATTGTAATCCAACGTAACATTTATAACATCTGTTTGATCGGGAATTTTAGGTGTGTCCACGATTTGTCTGAATAATAGGGCTACTGTTCCTATTGTGTCATATTTAGTGGCTATTGATCTCAAACCCACTGAATCACAAATTGAGATAAAATTTTTAATACGATTCTCGAGGTCTGTATTATTGAGAACAGCCTTTCCGTTCAATGAGTTCAACGCCATCTCCGGTTCCGTAAACTTATAGCGGAATACCGTTAATAGGAAACCCTTTTCCTGTATATTGTCGGACATGTCTTGTATGAATCCATTCAAGTCTTTATGCCATAAGTCCGGTGTGTCTCTCATTATCACCAAATGTGACGGTTTTAGTGTTAGGCTTTCCTTTACATCCCATTCCGTGGCATTATTTCTGAAGACTTCGTTCACATTCTCTTTGGACTTCACTATCAGTTTGTAATCCGTATTGAAGGGAATGATACGGAATTGAGTCAATAAGTGGTCCACATCTTTGGCCAATACATCACCGCTTAAGTTGATTTCAGTTATCTTCAAGTCATTAGTTGTGACAAAATTTTCCGAAACCATATCCACGAGAGTTCGGATCAGTCGCTCATTCTTTGAGATATGATTTACTAAGTCTTTACTCAAATCGTATTCAGGGTTGTCGTGGATCTCATTCAACACTTTACTCATAGTGGCCTCGATTTTGATAGTTTTGCTTTCGTCCACCAATTCTGACAATATTTTATCAAATATACGAAACATAACGTGATTTTCATTGTTTCCATTTCTATACTCGAGTATCACTTCATCGCTAATCGATTGGTAATTGAAATCGCATTTCATTTGTTTGAAACCCATTTGTTTCACTTTAGCCGCCATTGCTTTGCAAACCTAACACCAAACAAAGTATATAAACCAAAAATTAAAACACCATGTTCACCTAATTAACTAAATAACATGCGACAGACCTCCACATAATCCGTCAACAATTGTCTTTCTAACGGCTCGATAGCCTCCAGGTCTTCATTGGCGCAAAACTCATACGTGTCGGTCACCAGATCCATGGTATCCGCACGTCTCGGTATGGGGAACGCCATGATATCCTCCACTTCGATGCCATGAGTGACCAGACGTTTGGATTTAGCGTTGAAGTAAAAGGGCATATCAGCCGAGAATACGGCGTACCTTTCGTATAGTCTGCTCAGTTCAGTCGTATATAATTCCATGACATCAGACACATCGACATTCAATAATTCACCCACTTCAGTTGCTGCTCCGATCGGATCACTTGGCGTGTTTGGGACTGCCTCCTCTTTCTGTACCGCTACCGGTGCCGTCGTATTACGATTTTTGCGGAGTCCCTCGAACAGTACCCGGGGGTCGACCCGTAGGGCTCGTATCATCACCGGCACCATTAGCTTACGGAACGGTGCGCCCAATGCCATGGACTGCAAGAGTGCGTCCATATATGCGATCCAATTGCCGGTCCACTCGTTTACGCCGTATATCTCTTTGAAGTCATTTGTGCCGACTTTGCGCAGTCGTTGAAACTCCGGTCCGTAATCGAGACCCAAAACACCCAACTCTTTGTAGATGTCTTTGCGCTCTAAAGTGTACTTCTTGTCGGACAGGGAGTGGATCTGTTTGTCGTATATCTTGTTTTGTTGCAGTAATACCTCGTCATCTGGTGATCGCACCCGACCCACGACACACACGTTGTCGTTCTCCAACACTACGAACTCGTCTATAGAGGGGACAGACATGTCAGTGAGATTTGGCGTGGGAATCGATTAATGAAAAAATTGCACATTAAACTTATAATACAGTATTTAACTAAGATTATTAAAGTAATGTTGCTATTATAAAATTCAGTATACTATTATTTATTAAGCAAAGTCCTCTACTGTGCATAAATTAATGTTACAGTAAACTAACCAAGTTAATCCTGAATAACAAAAAAAATAATATGCAATGCGATATGATCGCTAGCTAAATAACTATTAAGTACAGACTAAAATCCAAATTTATTAAGTAATATGAAATATTTATTAATAATAATATTAGTAAAAATGGGTAACAGTACCTGTGATTTGGTAGTACTTAACAGTTAGAACTGTTTTTGCGGATTCAGTTATAAAAACAGCTCGTTTTAATTGAACATTTTCAAATACCACGGGCACCTGATACCACAGTTTGCCAATTGTGGCTGCTAGTTTGCGCCAGGCTAACATTAAATAGCCTGTTGCCGGGAACAAGGTATTTCCGTCAATAGCATGATCCAGGTAGAAAGTATCTGTTTTTATGTAAGCAACATCTATGGTCACGTGCATGTCCGATGATGTAGCACGGCTGTATTTTAATGGGTATAATTCTTTGTTGAATTGTCGACTGTGATCCCATTTAATTAGCGAACTAATGGACTGAGTATTGCGAGCCACCGGCCACTCCACCCGGGGGTAGAGTTTATCGATCGACAGATTGTAACCCAATTCGTAAAGTGTTGCCAATCCGGACAAAAACATATCCAGATTTGTATCGTTTGAGTCCTTTTTAATGAGCAATACGTACGTAGAGTTGGGAAGGGTTTCGGTCACTACTTTCTGAAACAATGAATGCGGACCTATCTCTAGGATGACCGCATCCGACGGTAGTTCCTTGAATTTATTGTAGAAATTAACCGGGTTCATTAGGTTGTATACAAAATATTCCCCTGATGCATATTTCAGAGAGTCGTCAATATTGTTTGAGTTTATTATGGAAGTAGAGATCCATTTCCTGGACCTAAGTTTAGGGTTTGGTATGTATTTCTTGATGGCGTCAGTCATAGGCTGTGCACTGGATATGAGATATTGTGAATGATATGGGATTTCACAGCTCTGTAGTTGTCTCACAAATACTGCCTTTTCTTCCAATGTTTTAATCATTTCTTTCATTTCTTTTATGGGACCTGAAAGTGGTTTTTAATTATTAACTTAAATCTAATGATTCTTTAAAATTATTTAAAAATATAATTACCGGAAACAACTACATTATCCTTTGAGTTATGGCACGCGATTAGAACCCCTTTTGGACACAACCTCTTTGCCTCAGCCTTAGTGAGACCTACGGCTGCCATCAAACCCTTCGGTATTTTCTTATCGTTTTCAGTGAAAAAACCTCTAAAGTAGACGACAATCATAGCATCCCTTGTGGACAGACATCCGTCAGCGTAAGCGCAGGCGATCTCACCAAACGAGTGGCCGATTATGCCGTCGGGTGTGATGNAAGTAGGCGACAATCATAGCATCCCTTGTGGACAGACATCCGTCAGCGTAAGCGCAGGCGATCTCACCAAACGAGTGGCCGATTATGCCGTCGGGTGTGATGTCTATGGCTTTCATCACTTCATACAAAGCTATTTCTATAGCAGTCGTCGAACAGAACTTCGCAGTCATTGTCGACATCAGAGACTTATCTTCAGATAACAACAGCTTCTTTAAGTCAACACCAAATTCAGCCAAAATCTGATGGCATTTCTCCACTTTATCGGCGAATATCTTGATTGGCATCAAAGCCTTAGCCATTGCAGGCCATTGTCCGCCCAAACCGGGGAACAGTAGCCAAAGAGGTCTCAAACTCTTTCCTTTCATAACTCCCATCTAATAACAACAGATTTTTTAAGTCAACACCAAATTCAGCCAAAATCTGATGGCATTCCTCCACTTTATCGGCGAAAATCTTGATTGGCATCAAAGCCTTAGCCATTGCAGGCCATTGTCCGCCCAAACCGGGGAACAGTAGCCAAAGGGGTCTCAAACTCTTGCCTTTCATAACTCCCATCTGTTTCTTGTATTCGTATCGTATTTCATGGTTTTCTTCGAATATTTTTTTTATTATAATCGATCCTAAATTATATAATATTTAATATCAAACAACTAATAAAATATGTAATACCTCTATTAGGCATCCCCGATGAATTTACCACAGGAGTGTATTTCATAGTATCGGATAAAAGTGCCAAAAAATCATTTGTGATTTTCTTGGGATTGTTTTCAATGAAATCCATGATATGTTTGACTGAATGCTGAGTTCGGCCGCAAATGTTGACAATTCTGGGTATAGTTTCAGCTATTCTTAAGCCATCATTGGTTCCCAACTTATAATTTGGTTCAAACAATACGTGAGCGTTTGAACCGCCGATACCAAAATTGTTAACCCCTGCCAATCCTATTTTTAAATATTTACTGTATTTACTAATACGAATATTATACAATACTTATACAAACAAACGTACCTGGCTGATAAAAGTATTTTTCCCTGATTGCCAACAATGGTGGGAAATACTGAGCGATTTGATCCTTAATAGTATTGAGGTTAATGTTCGGAGGAATGCATTCGTTCTCATAGGCTATCAATATCTTGATGACCGACGCGACCCCTGAACCGGCCTCCGCGTGACCCATATTGCTCTTCAGCACCCCTATAGGCAAGGGATCCGTACGTCCCGTGGACTTACAATAGACATTGTAAATGGCTTTGATTTCCTGTGGATCTCCGATCTATAAAAACATTATTAATCAAATAATATGAACAACTTTAATTACAAATTAAAATTGATACGCTTACAATTCATACCCTTGAAATGTTTTGCTCATTGCAATTATAGTTGTGGTTATTTAGGTCGACCCGATATAAAAACCTATTGAACTACTCATTCTATACAAGTCTGAGTTTTAATACTAGGAATTAATGTATTTCACAACAAAAAGTATAAGGTTTTTATAGCGCGCCGACCGATATAACCACCGAATTGGACACTTAAGGCATTCCGATAGATTACCGGACCTGGATATTATTATTATACAATGCCATACGAGTATAATTTAATTGGGTTTAATTTCAATTAACGGGAACATTTCTACGGAATGTATTTTTAGTATAGTAAAAATTGATTACATTGTATACTAAAGAATATTGTTGGTTTCTAGAATTTATTAAAAAATATTTTAAATATGCTACTGTCTGGGAAACATAACTTAAAAGATATTTGAAATAGTTATTTTTATTTATGAGTGGTGGCGCTTTATATCAGTCACACATATTCACAAGAGTTCGACTCGCGCCAGCGCCACCAAGGCGTACTGGGCGCGCGCCCAGGTCATGATTGGCGTATTCAAGACACCCTGCCTGTCCAGTTTTTATCATTTTTAACTAAATAATTTTATTACAGTAATTATAAGTTAAATTAAAATTAATCTTTTAAAAACCCGTTTTAAATAATACTAACATCTAGTTAATTTAAAAAGCAACCATAAAATAAGTAACGGTTATTAATTACTTCAAAAATAATAGTACCCCGTTTCACAACATATTGCACTACATAATATACGTAAGATAAGCTTAGATCCTCTCATTTTTGGCCATGCCGAGGGTATTGGGCGGGCGCGGACATATTATTTCCGCTCCCCCAACCGTCGAACTCTAATTGCCACACAACCTCTCATATTCAACCCTCAAGCGGAATTTGATGTGAACTATAGCTCAAAATCTTTTAGGTTATGTTTCCCAGACAGTATGTAAAACTCGAAAAACTATTTTTAAAAAGTTATGGAAAAAGAAAATATTTTATTTTTGTTTTGTTTTGTAAAATTATTTGATTATAAATTTATATAGTATTCTTTATATGATAGATAATTGTTATTATAAATTAATAATTTGAGTAACAAAATTTTTATCACTATAAATCATAAAGTAATTTTTTATATAAACTATACTTGTTTCAATTATAGTATTAAGCTGCAAGTTATACCTTAGTCCCGGTGGCGTGACATTCAAAATAGGTCATATCACGTGGGTCAATTTTAGCATCCTCGTGTGACATCCTCATAAGCTGTTCTTGTGCCTCACTGGACGGGTAAAACATTCCTAAACAAAGTAACCATGATATAAATCAGTGGTTCGCATCCCTAAAAGTGACCCAAACCTTAGTATAAGCCCAAGTGACTATTTTTATAAAATTATACCAGTATATATTATCAGGATAGTTTTAAGCATATGCTCATATTGAATTGCCATTTTGATCAAAATAGTCTCTTGTTCGAATAAAATTTTCTGTGTTTTCTATTAATATAAGATTTGATACTCTAGTCAAAAACACAGAACATTTGCTTACAAGATTAAATATTTATGAGACTGCATCCGATTAATTTTATGTCAGATATAAATTGCATTTCAAACACATTCTGTCTAATATACAGTGTATAATATACACTGTATATGATATAAGTATGTGATATAGTGTGATGTATTGATTTTTATCATACGGTGAGCTGGCTTACCCATCTTTTTGTGTCCGTCCACATTCATACGAGCACTGCGTACGAGGGCGTAGTTACGGCGCGCATCCCGGCGTCGCTGTAGGAATAGACAGCACACGGCCTCTGCTTTCACGTAACCGTCCGCCTCCTGGTCCAAGACGGCCGACACACCCCGGGGTGAACACAGAGACATCTCCTGTTGGTATTGGTTTATGAACGGCTCGAACACCATATGAGTGCCGCACACTATGGCCGAATCCGTATAACCTAAGCATGGTCATTAATGTAACTTTCAAGATATAATAGAGGAATTTGGTATTTTGTTTTTTATTGATAACTTATACCATTGAGTTTCAAATGTGAGGAGCATGAGCAATTAGTAATGTCATAAGTATTAGTAAATGTAACTTTTTGTAGCCTATGGAACTCATTGACTTATACTGTATTAGAAAGGCACTTTCAACCAATTTTAGAATATGTCCCGACAAACAAATAGTTTTTTCAACAAGAATAAATCAATTCTAGTCGTTATATTAGGTATATCATTTATAACATATCCCCAAAGCGTTTTAGCATCATATTTTAAAATAGTTTTTCGTTTACTTATGAGCCAATAAACATTTAGCGTGCAAAACTTTGTATTCTTTTAATTTTAAATGGTTTCTGGTGACTATTGTTTGAAAACAATAACAAAGTATTAAGCTGTCTAAACACTAGTTATTAATAAACATACCGAGTTTGAGGTCGTTATAGGCCAGACACATTGCACTGAGACTGGCCGAGCAGGCGGTGTCCACGATCATCGACGGACCCTTGAAGTCGTTGGAAAAGGATATACGGCTGGCGTAGAAGGTCTTCATGTTTAACAGGATCTGCAACATTATTGTCCGCACAGACTCCCAGGAGTCAGGCTGTACGTCCTCCGGGTAACCATCGGTCATGGCGTACTGGGACACACCCACGTACACGCCTGTCCTACTGCCACGTAATGCTTGCGGATTAAAACCTTACCGATAATATAATTATTTGAACATTAATAAATAAACACAATTTACATTTTAACAGTGAATTAATTAAAGGTTTGCTATTTTATCAAGCTAAATTAAGAAACCAAATTATAAGAATTATAGGTAAACTATAGGAGTTAACTTATTAAATTATTCATTTTATATGCTGCTAACTATAAATATGTTATCGAGAATCTAATTAAATTTTAAGTTGACAACCAAATGCTACAGGTATTACAATGATTGTGAAAATCAATTTAATCAATATTTAATTGATATACCGTACTAAGAAAATCTAAGCATGCAAATGATCTATTTAAAACGAAAACATACCGGCGTCCAACATGGCCTCATACGATGTCTCCAAAAGCATGCGGGACTGGGGGTCAATCACGTCCACCATCTGATCCATGAGCCCGAAGAATGACGAATCAAAATGCTTGTAGTCATCAATCTTTCCCATTCGGTTCGATATATCGTATAAACCTTTTTTTGGGCAGGGTTATACAAATAATTTCGGCCTTATATATTTATAATTACCATTTTTCTGTTAAATAGTCTAGGAATTTTAAATAGTAATAGATAATATTTCAAGTAAATAATATATAGATAATTATTTTAAAGTTAAAGGAAACTGCATAATATGGACACTAGTTCTCACAAGCTACGCATAAAAATTTAAGGTAAATTTAAATTAAAAATTAAAAATTTACATTGACACAAAGGTTTATTATCTAGCAGTGTCTATAATTAATTGTGTATCGGATAACAATCAGTTGTATATTTAAATTAAATAAAATCAATTTTTAATAATTTTAAATATTTAACATTTTTATTAATAAATTTTTTAAATCTCATTATTACTAATCGTAATTATTTGTTTCAAAATAAATTACGAGTGAATAAAATCTATGGATGTCTTACCCATTGGCCATCGACTGTCATCATCGGTAACCATATCGATGCCATCGAACAGATTCCTCGCGAACTCGTCGGTGTTGGCCGAGAGGGGGAACCGACCGCTCATTCCCGACACTAGTATATCGTCGGCCGACATGACTGTCCACTCGCTCATAAGCTTACGCCTTATTTATTAGAAATAAGATTTATTTAGTTAGTGAGTGAATAAAAGCTTTTAAACTTGTGCTGATTCTATACAACGATTCTTTATAAGTGATATATTTATTTAAAACAACAAAAAATTTATTCAAAAATCAGAAATTTGTTTTCAAATAATTTTAATAAATCA